AGCCAAATTAAAGAAATTTGGCTAACCGAAATCCAACCTTCCGAGAGTCGACTCAGCGAGGACGAAATAGCCAACCATCCCCGTTCGAAATGCCGGCATCCCAACAACCGGCATTTCTAAGGCCAACAAAACCGCAGCCAACCGTCCCACCCACTTAGAGCCACCATAAAACCAACTGCACTAGCCCCCGACGCCTGGTCCGTCCACCTGGGTGGGTGTAATGGAAGAACCAAACGCCGGAAGGGAAGGAGCTAGAGCAGGGCCGACACACCTAACACCGGCACACCAAAAACCAACCTCGGTGTGTCAGCCCCACAAGGACATCCCAATCATCCTCGCTTGAAATGCCGGCATCCCAACAACCAGCATTTCGAGGGCCAACAAACTGATGCCCAACACCGATTCCCACCGCCAACTCGAACTGCATTAGCTCTGACGTCCGTTCTTGTTGCTAGTGGGTGGGACACTAGCCGAACGAGGCGCCAAGGGAGGGTGTGAGCTAACGCAGGGCCTAGAAAGGGCAAAAACCAGGCCTTTTAAAACCGACCGAAAAATCCTTCAGGGACCATACCCCCCCTATATATGCTTAAAAAACATAAACCCAAGTTACAGCAGTAGATACGATTTTGCTGTAGAGTCACACTCACCAAACAGGCCCCAAATTCAAACACCAAGCCAATTCCTCGTCACAGCCCGTAACCAAACATCATTGTTAGATCATAATGATATGCAAAACACACTAACAAACATTTGGGGCAACGAAAAAGCTATAGCCAAAACGGCAAAAGCAGTGTTTCTCCGAAAGCCCACACTTCAAAAACCACATGTGAAAAACAAAATTCATGCCACCCACAATTTTATTTCCGGCTACAAAAGATATATGAACTATTTTTAATGGCTTTTTGCTTTGCAAACGCCGAAAAAACAAACGGAAAAGAGCAAGAACCAAGCATTTTTTTAGCCGACCGGAAAAACCTTCACTGACCATGCCCCCCCGCTACATGATGCAACGATAGCCGGCATTCCCCGAGCGAGCATGTGAAAACATGATCATGCCCCCCGATGTCACAAGGGTGCGCATGAGGTAACACACGGCCTAGCAAGGGAAAAAACCAGGCCTTTTAAAACCGGCTAAAAAAACCTTCACGGAACATACCCCCCCTACATATGCTTAAAAAACATAAACCCAAGTAACAGCAGCAGATACGATTTTGCTGTAGAGTCACACTCACCAAACGGGCCCCAAACTCAAACACGAAGCCAAATCTTCGTCACGGCCCATAACGAAACATCATTCTTGGATCATACAAATTTGCAAAACACACTAGCAAACTTTTGGGGAAGTAGCCCCTTGGGGTGTCCAATTTTTGGGCATAACTTATGCTAGGAGTGTCCGTTTTCAGCGTGCGACCACTTTCCGGAAAGGACTCAACGAGACGCACAGGGGGCCGATCGGGCGGAGCCCATCGGACTTCAGTTATCACCTCAAATTCGCTCGTTTAGGCCGCCATTTTGCAGTTTTATTGTTTCCGGGCCTATGGCCTGCTTTTTGTTCAGCCCATTCACTCCTCATTCCTAGGCCGGCTTGTGGGGTTCTTTCATCCGCACTTTACTTTTCATATTATATCATAACCCTAGCGTGGAGTTTTCCCCTAGCTATTATTCTCTTTCCCTCTTATTCGTTGTTCTCTTCGTTCTGTCCGTACACCTGGATTCTATTCGGCGTCATCTGGTATCAGAGCTCAGTTCGACGAAAAGGAAGGTCATCCTTCATCATCAATGGTGCGCGCACGAGTTAGCGGCCTCAGGCAACCTATGGGTGACGAACACTCCCCCCCGCCCCCCGGCGAGAGAGGCGCCATGACAACGTGGAGGTGATTAAGTGCTAACTTTGTGGCGGACCGGGACGTAGGGTGACGGAATGCAAAAAGCCCGTCCTACAGAAGAACACGAGTGTGTTCGTGGAGGAAGACATCGTTTATAATGATGACGAAGTTGAAGAGTCAAGAGATACGTCTTGAAGAGTCAAGAGATCCAGTCTACGATGATTATGCTAAAGAAGTCGTTCTTTATGTGGACGGTCGTGAGAATCTCGTTGTCCGCAAGAGCCCTCTCGCCCCCAAGGATGACTCCAAGGACGACTGGTTGAGGACTAACATCATCCACACTGCGTGATCTCAAAAATCGAGGGCCCGCGTACCGTGCATTGTACAACATTTCGAAAACAAATCTTGCACTAAGTTAATGCCAATTGCAAACTTGCACGCGTCAGGATGACTTGCATCATTCCCATTCCCTTCGGACCGCTAGTGCCGTACAAGACTATCAGAAAATTACCAAGCGTACGCCTTTGCATTTCCCTTAGGGACTGCTTTGAAGTCACAGCCTCCGCGATTAACCCGGAAAAAGCTTAGAGGGTTTTTGAATCCGGATGGGGGGCGAATCAAAGCAACAAAGTGCTGAATCTCAGAGGATCGTGGCAGCAAGGCCACTCTGCCGC